ATGTAAAACTACTTCGTTCTTCATTTAAAAAATGGAATCTATATCCCTTCTCTCTTACACTTCAAGGGGGCCTAGGATTTTCTTTATCCAACACTAAAAAAGGCCTCTTCGTATCTTGCAACTGAAACAAAAAAATTATCACGCGGTCATTAATAAGTTCGGAAATATCGAATTATAAGTTGTAACACTCGTGTTGAATCATTCTATGTATACACTGGTACACATATGTATAATTGATAGTCTTCTTGAGGTACATTAATCTATTTTTAATCCATCAAAATGTATTACAAAAGAATAAAGATTACGTTTATGTAATATTCTATCACCTTTTTTATCATGTTCAACTCTGAACAAAAAATATTACTCAGTCAAGGTGATAAAAAAGAAGAAAATAAAGATGCCTGCAGGCAAGAAAGTATCGCCATTCAGATCTCGAGTCACGGTTGGATGTCGGGCTGTTAAAATTAAAAGTTGCCTTGCCGAAATTGTATTTTACGGCGGAGGCGTCTTTCGACCCTAAAAGCGAATGGTATTCAAAATTTTTTCATTGTTATGGTCCTTACGGTAAATGTGAACACTCTATTAGACTGTTTAGATTTTGTACCTTATACATAGTACATCGATCGGCTCTGTTTTTTAAAAGGAATCCGGATATACTATTGTCTTTGCACTCAAAACGTCTTGTCATAAATTGAAGGACTGTCGAACCGCATTTTTTAAATTGAATAAAGTATCGTATTAGCTCTCAACGGAGAACGACCCCCTTTGCAAGGATGCATTTCGAAAATTATAAAACAACACACATAGTTTAAAAATTTAATGAATTAATTTTCGATATTTAATAAAATTGATATTTGCTTTAGATCATGTTTGGTCAAGGATAGCGAAATAAAAATGCCGAATTTCATTTTCATTAATTTATTAATCAGAATTACGATGCCTGATTTAGGTTACTATTGCACGCGCCGTACCAGTTTACATAGATACGGTCTAAGAACTTGGAGTGGGACCTAGCAGTGATAGTGGGGACAGCGTGACGTCGCGTGCTCTTCAGGGTTCGTATAATTTGTCGCACACGGCTCGCTTCCCATCTTTTTCGCCCATATTTCGATTCCCACTACTATTCTCCCCAGGCGCCTTCGCTGACCATGCCTAACATACCACCATCAAGTACCAGTCCCCACCATGGTCGCGTCGTCCCCACTTTCCGGCCGAGCGACAAATTATACGAACCCTGGTGCTCTTCCCCTGTGGAGGTTCGCCAGAGGGGTATCGAGCCAATTTACTGGTAGAAGGTGACGGTAGGGCCTTTCTCTAGGCCGCACAGAATAAATGTTTTCCGCGCCATTTGTGATTTCGGATCGTGTATTATAGAGGGCGGTATTATAACTATTCAGATCAGTTTATTTCCAATAAGCACCAATGATGCTTTCAAATGCTTCTAAATGCTTCTATCTGCCGCTCTATTGTAATGACAGCGGGCAGCGATCAGCTCCTTACTTGAAGCCAAACAGCAACCGGTATGATCTGCGCACTTGGCCATTTATTCCGCAGAAATCAGCGGGCTTCTTTGGGGTACCGAGCTTTTACATGTTTTTGCGCATGTCTCGTACTTTTCACTTCGGTACTGCTTTTGCTCCCCGTTGAACGCTGACGGCACACTGTAAATGGAAATGGTTCTTAAGGGTACTTCCCCCGATATCACATAAATATTAATGGAAAGAACTGAATTACACTCTGATTTTCGTACAATAATTGCGTGAGGATATTATTAGTTGGAAGCTGAAAAGTAACTGGTAATACGTGATTAGTTATTGATGTCGATTTTCTTGTCTCTAAACGAGTCACGTAAAATGTGCCACTGTAGGGCCGTACTGCTTTCAACACTGCAGACTATAGTTGAATGAAGTAATCGAATTGTTTGTGTGTACGCTTGCTGGAATTTATCATTGAAACCGTTGAATGATTGATGCAAGCGCTTGTGACCCAACATTAGTAGAATTTCATGCAAACTCGATGACAAAACGCCAGTCGATTAACAAACAAATGATTTGTGATAAAAATACTAAATTCATGTCTAATTAATCTGATCCGAAAGTTTCTGGGGTACATGTTCTATGTGAAATGTCATACTTACAAATAGTACTTATACTCACAATAAGTACTATACTAAGCACTTAGTTCTTAGTACTAAGTAAGTCATTCAGAATACTTAGTTCTAATATTTATTTAAAGTATTTAGTGTACTGCTTAACTATGAAAATTATTTTAATTAAAATTTCACTCTTAGTTTCTCTTCTTTCTTCTTCTTCTTCTTCAAACTTTATTCCCTTTATTACACCTTTTGGGATTTTTCTGATTTTTCCCCTTTGGGATTAATCTGGTAAAAATATGTACGATATTCATTTAAAGAAGCGAGACGAAACTTACAGTTAATTAATAATGAACGTGATCTCGTTCGAAGAGACTTATATCTTTTCATGAGTAATCGTATATTTTAAAAGATTATTATGAAACAAATTGTTTCTCGGAAATTTATGTAATGCCAGACGTACTCCGGTGAAGAGAAGGAAACAAAGATATCGAATGAAATTGTAAATCGACTCTTGCAGCTGTGGACGCGAAAACTGTCTCGTGAAAAGAACTTTCCCCTCGTAGGAAAGTTTTAAGACGACGGCTAGAGTGTACGCGTCGCAACACGTCGAACCAGTTCATTCACGGTTAGAAAATGTTGAAATAATTAAAATGATGTTTCAGAGATATTCTACAGAACACGTTTAGATTTCTTACTAATTAAGTGTGAATTTAATGTTTTCATAGCGGATATTCGATTGCAAGAAAACGAAAACTACATACGATGTATAAAACAGAATGAAAAATGCATATCACAGTGATTTAATTTCTTTCTAAATTTAATTTTCTATGCAGGTCGCATTATAAATTGTAGAATTATTCGGAAATCCAAGAAGGATCCTACATTAACAGCTCCTGATATCTACAAAGAAATCGGATTATTTGATATTAGCACTACCGAAGAAATCATGTTTATTATTTACACATAGAAATACTTAAATTACACGGTCGATGATCGGAAAAAGTATTATAATTCTTTATACATAGGAAATCTCGAAAAATAATTAAAAGAAAAGTTATTCATTTGATTGGGTACTACATAAAACTACTTCGTTCTTCATTTAAAAAATGGAATCTATATCCCTTCTTTCTTACACTTCAAGGGAGCCTAAGATTTTCTTTATCCAACACTAAAAAAGGCGTATCTTCGATCTTGCAACTGAAACAAAAAAATTATCACGCGGTCATTAATAAGTTCGGAAATATCGAATTATAAGTTGTAACACTCGTGTTGAATCATTCTATGTATACACTGGTACACATATATATAATTGATAGTCTTCTTGAGGTACATTAATCTATTTTTAATCCATCAAAATGTATTACAAAAGAATAAAGATTACGTTTATGTAATATTCTATCACCTTTTTTATCATGTTCAACTCTGAACAAAAAATATTACTCAGTCAAGGTGATAAAAAAGAAGAAAATAAAGATGCCTGCAGGCAAGAAAGTATCGCCATTCAGATCTCGAGTCACGGTTGGATGTCGGGCTGTTAAAATTAAAAGTTGCCTTGCCGAAATTGTATTTTACGGCGGAGGCGTCTTTCGACCCTAAAAGCGAATGGTATTCAAAATTTTTTCATTGTTATGGTCCTTACGGTAAATGTGAACACTCTATTAGACTGTTTAGATTTTGTACCTTATACATAGTACATCGATCGGCTCTGTTTTTTAAAAGGAATCCGGATATACTATTGTCTTTGCACTCAAAACGTCTTGTCATAAATTGAAGGACTGTCGAACCGCATTTTTTAAATTGAATAAAGTATCGTATTAGCTCTCAACGGAGAACGACCCCCTTTGCAAGGATGCATTTCGAAAATTATAAAACAATACACATAGTTTAAGAAAAATTTAGTGAATTAATTTTCAATATTTAATAAAATTGATATTTGATATTTTTATAGTTACATTCGCAATTAGCACATTAAAGTACCCAACATATGTAGTCGTAGGTACTTTTCTGAATTTTATTTTCTAAAGAAGTCAAGCAAAATCATGTCCTCGACTTAGTTTACATTCATGATCTAGATAAAAGTCAATCAAAATCATGTACCTGATAATATATTTCGACTTCATATAAAAATCGAAGATGACTCCCCTAAAGTAAACATTTATCTATCATTCTGACAAGTATATGCATAATTACATTTACCTCAATTTTTAAAATCCGATGCCAGTATAAATTGTTCTGATTGCCTTAAGGAAATAATCAACTTTCAAATTGGACATGCTACACATAAAACCAGGCGGACCGGACGCCTGGGTACCGGTTGAACGTCACACGTTTACTACAATAATGCAACAGTTACGTTTAAGCACTCTCCCTCCGCATACTTATACAATTTGGCAATGTCAGGCGTTCACCAGTTTGGCAATGGCCATGTCATCGTGCCGCCCGAGGAATCTAATTTGCGGGTCGTTCCACGTCTTCTTGAAAGTACACAGTACATATACCAGCGCGGTTACCTACTGTCTACTACATACTTACAAACTAGCCATCGTCGGTCCCCACTATAAACAAAATCGTTCCTGAAGGCAGTGTAAGTTATAAAGGATCGTGCTCCGTACTATACCGCTGCACTCTCTCAGTGAAACTCTCCGAGATCGTTCCTGTGTCTATCCTGTGACCTCTTACTTTTCAACGCGTACACCATGAGGATTATAATCCTGGTACGTACACATAAATTATAAGTTTTTCTTCCAAAACCACATTTTCCTATTAATAGAGACGAAGTACTAATACTTGCCATGAATTGCACATTTTTTTGCAAAAGACTTTAGAAAACGATTTAGTTTGTCACTGATTTCTAGTACTTTATACAAGTTCATCCTTTAAAGCTAA